GGGGCACGAACCCGTGTCCCCTGCATCGGCAGGCGGTCTCTCAACCACTGCGCCACCAGGGAAGCCCCATTTGCCCATTTTAAAGTGTACAGTTCTGTGGCATTAAGCACATTCACTGTTGTGCAACCATCACCAACATCCATCTCCAGAATGTTTTCATCTTCCCCAGTTCAAACTTTCTTTCTTACTCAGCGAATGCTCAGAACAGTGGCAGAATGTCTGGCTGTAACACAGTGTTATAGGTTGTATCTGATTGGTGAGGTGTTTAATACTAGGCACATGATAATAACTAACAGATGTCTTTTAACATGCAGGTGTTATGGCAATTTTAATAATTTTTTTCACAAATGCAATACTGTATTTTTAAATGCACTTTAGCTGAAAACCACATAGTGCTCCACCAGATAATTGATTACTATAATAATTATATTTGCAGACTCTTACATAATTCTGTACTTTTTTCTTTTTAGTATGACTTATGTTTCCTATTCTTTTACTTACACCACAATACTACACCTGAATTAGATGGGATTCATTTGCAAGTGGTTGCAAGTAAGGTAACTCAATTCTAACCAGTTTAGGGAAAGACTGTCTGGGTATATTATGTAACAAAAGGCAGAGTGGATGAAGCAATATATAGCAGAGGGAAAGGGTCAACTGGACCTCAGGAATAACTGGAACTAGAATTTTTAGAACCAAATGTTTGGAGAGAGAGAATCATTTCCCAAAATAAGGGGTGCTCTTTCCCAAAGAAGGCCCAGTGAAGGTGCTGGGCAGGAAAAAGAAAAAAAATACAAGAACAAAAATAAATGATGGAGGGGTATTTGAGCTGAGAGGGTCTAACTCTGGTGCCCGAACTCTGAGCCTAGTGCCTGGTAACCCTGTCATCATGGATAGCCCTTGTCAAGTTAGTCAGATTCAGCTCCCTTGACCCTGCCTAACTTTGTAGAAAATATGATGATGGAGTTCAAAGACCAAATGGGAATTTTTGATGATCTCTTGAAGTTTATTCTGCATTTAGAGTTCTCTGATTAATTAAGAAACAAATTGAATAAGGGAAGTTAGAACAACTGGGTGTTTCCCACTTCCCACCCCTCGTCTCTCTTCTCCTTCTGCACACATGTGCCCACACGCTCAGGTGACTGAAACCCCTTCACACTGAAACAGAATGCACAGTCCCAGTCACTTTCTAAATGTATAGGACGTGTTTGTGGACATAAAGAAGTTCCAGTGCCCTGAAACCACAGAATACAATGCGATGATTTCCTGCTAATGGCTGGCCTGGCTCCAAGCTTCTGTTAGGATCATGTGATTGACTTGGCAGAGTGATCATTATTTTCTTGCTTTTCCTGCCTTATGTTTTTCAAAATGTCATCTTGAACAATCACAGGACCTTTAATACTGACAAGTAAGAAGCAATAAACAGTGGGATAGATTGTGCATTGTCACTTAAAGCACCATATACTGTCTGCAAAGATACTGAAAAGAGTGATTGAGGAGAACTGGAGAGTTACACAGCAGGTTAAGAAGCAGTGAATTAACATTTTTTTCTTGAGAGGGAAAGATGCTTTAAACCACAAAATTCAGAAAATCTGACCAGTGTTTTATGGAAAATAATGTGCAGGAAAAAATTCCCCCTCTTCTTTTACTAGTTCCATATGTGACGCACAGACATTCCAAAGGCTGGAGTTAAGTCTTGGTTTCAGGGAGTGTCTTAGTACAGCAGGGTTCGTAGGCTGGGCACCCAGACAAGGGGTTGGGTTTTGAGTCAGAGCAGAGGAGTCTTGAGAGCAGCCATATGTGAAGGGTTAGTGTTAGGAGCCCAACAGATCTTGGTCTAACATAGATGCTGTATTAATATGCATGCATAAAAAATTACCCCCAAACTTAGCAGCTAAAAACAATACATACTGATTATTTTACAATTTCTGTGGGGTTAGGATTCTAGGATGATTTTATTGCAGAGTCTCCTCTCCCTTAAGGTTGCATGCAAGCTGTTAGCTGAGGCTGCAGTCATCTGAAGGCTCGACTGGAAGAGGAAAATCTGCTTCCAAGCTCACTCACATGGGTGTTGTCAGGAGGCCCCAGTTCCTCTCTGATGTTGGCTGGAGGCTTCAGTTCCTTGCCATATGGGCCTCACCACACAACATGGCAGAGATCTGAGAGAGAGAGCATGCATCCGAGACAGAAATTTATAGTCTTTATAACTTCATCTTAGAAATGACGTTTAACATCACTTCTCCCACATGCTATTGTGATATGGGAAGGGACTACACATGGCCCATGAACTAAGAATGATTTTACATTTTCACATGGTTGGAAAAAAATAAAAAGAATAATTATATTTAATGACATGTGAGAAGGACATGATTCAAATTTTAGTGTCCATAAATACACTTTCCTGGAACACAGCTATACTCACTTGTTTAGGTATTGTCTACGGCTGCTCTCACTCAGAAATAGCAGAGTTGAGTAATTGCAACCAAGACTGTATGGCCTGCAAATTCTAAAAGATTTACCATCTGGCTCTTTGCATAAAAAGTTTGCCAATCCCTGATTAAAAAAAACATTTAAAATAATGTCCTTGTTACTCATATTGGCAAAAGAATATGAAGAACTTTAAAAATTGATAGTAGAGTATATCTTAGGGATTAATATTTGTGTAATGACATAGGAATAGTCTATTAACTCTTATAGGCACTCTGATATTTCTATGTTCATTCAGCATATATCCAATTCAGATATTTAATGGACAATGTGCTATACTTCAATAGATAATGGGAGGCATTATTAAACACTTCTGGTGTTTGATGAGAACAAATTCTCCTTATTTGTTGTATTTAACGTCTATTTAATCTTTATTTTTTAAAAAATAATCTTTAAATTGTCATCTATTTTGTATAAGTTGTTAACTTTTTAAATATATGTATTACAGAAAAATCAGAGTATAATATCAAAATCAGAATATAATGAAAGCAAAACAAAGAAAAAATGTCTACAGTTTCACTTACCCTGTGGAATATAATCACTGTATATTTTAGTGTATATATTTATATATTAGAGAGACAGGACAGAAATTGTAACATTTCCTAGAGCCTTTAGTTTGATACAGTACATTTTGCATATCCAAAAATATAATATAGTATGCAGTGTTTCCCAAATGTAGTTTGACTGCCAAAACTCTTTCCTCAAAATTAATATTAATATCACCGACTGCACTAGTGTTCTATAAATGAGTGTTCCCATAAGTATTGAGAAATACTGTGTTGGATACACATCTGGGGATGTTCTCTTTTAAGTGTCATTTGTTGAGGGTCTAGAATAGACTCACATCATCTACTAGTAAGTTTTAAAATAAATAGAATCAACCTCTATTTTGTTTTAATTATGTGTAATGTACTTAGGGGGACTGTGGCCTCCCGTCCAGTGTGGA